GAAACTAATACAATCTACCTTATAAGAGTGTTCTGAGTTAAGAATGAACTAATGCATGTAAAGCACTTAGGAAATTGGATAATGACATACACATGTGTACACCTGGGAAAATATAAATTGGTCAATGCGAATTTAATACTAGAGAAAATAATAGAACAATCATCAAATTACTTTCCATTACTCAGAGGAGACCTAGATATTGTGTAACAATTCAAGTTGGATTTCTGAGCAAACAAATAATGTCAATGTCAGACCAATTTAATTTTCTTTCTTTGAAGAATATTAGACTGCGTAGGTAAGAAGAAAGTGAAAGATTGAATGCAGCGGAACTAGATGGGCTTTCTGCCTGTCTTCATGACATTTCTATCACCAGGCTGTAGAAATTGTTTAGTGCAGCCGATCCCCCAAAGAGTGTTTTGTAGAAAGTTATTAAAAGTTCCGTGAACAGTTAGGTTTGGGAAACACAGGGTAAGTTACTTCACTATAGGATTCTCAAATATTTTTAATAAGGTAATATGAGTATCTTAAGAGTCACTATAGTTTATAGCATTTCCCAAACTTATTTGGCCATGGAATTCATTAAAGGGTCACAGAGGTGTGGATGATATGATAGTATCTTTCTTAGTTATAGTTCCTAAAAGTTGATTATTGAGTTTTTAGCATATATATGTAGAAAAATATTGTGTGTTATTCCACAGGAATGAGAAATTTAAAGAGGTGTTACTTTATACTTTTATTCATGAGCTGGACAACCGCAATCAAGTGAATCATGGTGAAGCATGAAGTTGGACAGAGTTGCCATCTCCTTCAAAGACAGAAAAGAAATTCAAAGGATGCTGAGAATACTATCAAAAATAGAATGAAGATCAACAGGGAGAAGAAAGATGTCTTACAGAGAAAACATAAGATTTGTAGAAAAACAAAGAAAACATTTTGATATATATATTTGGCTTTAAAAGACCAAGAAAAAAACATACTGGTCTTGAATAAAAAACATGGTGAATATAAATATATTCACAAGAGTTATTACTTCTGCCTCTGCCAACTCTATTGCAGTGAAAAGCACAGGGAAATGTGACATGTCTCACAGATTACAGGCGTGGCTCTATTTTAGAATGTTGGGTCGCTGTATTCTTCTCTCCTGGCTCTCCATGCTCCTTACAAAAGCGGCTTTGGAGATGCTCCAGGATTCAGGACTTCCAAAGTCATAAAGTTCCCAGCAAAGTCTTGGTTTATGGTACCTCTGAGTGATGGGTTAACTGTCTGTGAAGGGAGATCTTCTGATTTTCTGGTTTAATGAAGTTCTCTTAGTTCTTTTGCTAAGAGTGGATAGGAACTGACTTTCCTATTAAAAAATTATCCTGGGGGTGCGTGGGTGGCTCAGTCAGTTGTGCTTCTGACTTCAGCTCAGGCCATGATCTCATTGTTCACAAGTTCGAGCCCCATGTTGGGCTCTGTGCTGACAGCTCAGAGCCTGGAGCCCGCTTCAGATTCTGTGTCTCCCTCTTTCTGTCCCTCCCCTACTTGTTCTCTCTCTCTCTCTCTTCTCTCTTTCAAAAATAAATTAGACATTAAAAAAATATCCTGGGGGTGTTTGGGTGGCTCAGTCAGTTAAGTGTCCGACTCTTGATTTTGGCTCAGGTCATGATCTCGGGGTTCATGAGTTCGAGCCCCGTGTCGGGCTCTGTGCTGACAGTGCTGAGCCTGCTTGGGATTCTCTCTGTCTCCCTCTCCATCCACCCTCCCTCGCTCTCCCTCTCTATCTCTCAAAATAAATAAATAGCTTAAAAAAATTATCCTGGTTGCTGAGATTCTGCTAAATCAAGAGATTATCCAGGATGCATAGCATTCCTAGGCCATTGAGGAGTTGATGTTGAGGGCTCAGAGATTGTAGCCACTCTTTTTTTCCTTCTTAAGTTTTTTGTACTATTGTATTAGGGTATGGCATATCCTAAGTGTTCCTCTTAAATAACTGACCGGTGATGCACTGCCCAGAGTCATGCGTGTGTGCGTGCATGTGTGTGTGTGTGTGTGTCCACGCATGCACACAAAAGCATGTAAGCATGTCTGTAAGAAAAAGCCAATATGAATGAGAATCACAACAGTGCCAGGAGTCCTGTGCTTGGCTGACATTTTCACACTAAAAAATTAGATGACTTCTAGGGAAAGCAACCCCATAAGAGACATGAAGATCTTATTACATGAAAAAAGAAGTTGATGATATTAACCTGGAGAAGAAAACAAACTGGGAACCATATACTCTCTCACTACTTAAAGAGAAAAAAACCATTGGAAATTAGGAGAGGCTCGGTATTGATACTAAGAAATAAGTTCTACAACATTGAATACTGTCCAATAATGAACAAGTGTGCTTTATGAAAAAATTCTAAAACCAAAATTATTTTTGAACACTTATTTTGTGACAGGTGTTATGCTGAACACATTACATGCAGTAGGCTATTCAATTCTCTCAAAATCCCTATGAGGTAAGAACTGTTATTATTCTCACATTACAGGTGGGAAACCAAGTGTTGGAGAGGTTACTTTACTGTTTCAAGGTCACACAGCTAGTGAACAGATAAACTGTATTTGATCTTGGAACCTGTGTACTAAACCACTGAATTGCTTATTTCCATCCTTGGACATTTTAAAGCACAGTCTGATGTATCAAAAATTTAATTTAAGGGTTTCTTGCTGCTGTAAGTCTTTTCCATTGCAAGGCTGACCCACCGCAGTCATCTCTAAAATCTTTCATTTAATTTCTGCCATATTGAAGACTGAAAGAAACATTGACTTGAGCTCCCTTGGGCATTATGTCCCCCTGTCATCTTCCTTCTTTAACAGAGATGGGGAAAGTCTACAAGTCTAGAGAAGGCCAGTTAAAGACTAAGGGATTGATGGGCAATAGAATCCACAAAAAAAATTGAAAGAAGCTGAGTTCCTTTGACCAGGGAGCAACTGGTGATCTTCTGCAATATGCAAAAGATGATGGGGAGATAAATCACGTCCATGGAGAATACAACAGGAAACCCATCACAGTGAGAAAGCTTGGCTGGTGCAAGAGGCTCTTCCCAGTGAAAAGGTCTTGAAATAAACAAGACTCTGAAGCTCCGTTATGAGTAGAAGAAGTCATGTTAGAATAGAAGCCAAGGCCTTTAGCAGCGGTCCACTCCATTTGCCTTTCTGGTAGCCTTGTCAAGTTGGCTGGCCCTGAGGATGAGCTAGAAGGCTGGCAAGTATCTGTGAACTTTCCTTGGTTCCATCTTGTCCCACTAAAGAAGCAGCAGACACCAAAAATGAAATTTGAGTCCCTTTCATTTTGGGAAAACTTTAAAGCAAATATGCTAAGTGTGGTGATAGGGACCTTTGGTAGCCGACCACAGGGGCTCACAAATAACCTTGTGATTCCTTCTGAATTCAGGAATCTATGGCCCAGAACAATTGAGGACAGCCAAAAGAGTCTCTGTTAATAAAATCACCTTGAAAAATCAACACTTCTGCTCGGTAGAGTTTTGTGTATTAATTTTAGGAGCTAGACTGTCAATTTTTCTTTAACACAGAAAGAAACTGAATACCCTTACAAATGGGGATTTTTTAAAAAAATCTTTTAAAGATTTTTTTTCTGCCTCATAAAAATTTTATCATAATTTCATGCCCCCATCCTTCATGGCTTGTTACTCGCTCCATTACTCTTACATTTAACTTGATAAGGTCCTGGTTCCTGTGATACTAGTTTTTAGATTTTGGTTTTTCACAGCTGCTGCTTTGAAGGACCTGATAACATTCTTAGCCTTGCACAGAGTGAGTGGCTTTTCAAGCCCTCATTCCCCCACTGCTCACTATCCTGCTATTTCTGTTACTTCTCACTTAATGGGTATATTCTCAGCCTCACCCCTCCTTTACTTTTTTTTTTTTATGTTTTTTTTTTTTTTTTTTATTTCTAGGAGAGAGAGAGAGAGACAGCGTGAGCAGGGGAGGGTCAGAGAGAGAGGGAGTCACAGACCGAAACAGGCTCCAGGCTCTGAGCTGGCAGTCAGCACAGAGCCCGACGCGGGGCTCGAACCCACGAACCGCGAGATCATGACCTAAGCGAAAGTCAGACGCTTAACCGACTAAGCCACCCAGGCGCCCCACCCCTCCTTTACTTTTGAAAGAGGGCAAACCATTGGCTTTTACAGGTGGTTAATCAGTCCACCCATGGAATTGGGCAGGTTATTCCAGAAGTAATCATTTCTCTCCCCGAGCATGTCAGAGCCTGCTCTCCTATGGATGTTCAGGGATTTCAGTGGGGGATACTCATGAGTGGTAATGGGACACCTGTCATTGTTCCTGTAAACACAGATAAGGCCAACACTCTCTTCACATGCACACAGATGGTCCTTTACTTAATGTAGCATCTGCAAGGCTTATAGTCACACTCTGTGTCAAAAGGTGGCTTCTGCTAACAGGATCCATGCCAAGTGTGACCTCAACTGCTGGAATTTAGAAAAAGCCAATTATTTCACTGGGCAAAGTTATGCCATAGCTAAAATCAGACAGGGAAGTACCTTCTGGATGCTCTCAGTTTACCCAGTAGGGGAAATGGGATTATAAACATTCAGAGAATTTCTGGACTTGTTTATGGTTAAAATTAAGTTACCGTTGGGAGTTTTGACTTCTGTTCTTATTTTAATAGGAAATTAAATTGGTGTAGAAAAACAAACATCTCCTGTTTCATCCACTTAGAAAAATTTCTCATTTCCTTCATTTCCCAACACATTTGATGTGAATATTGAATGTTGGAAGACTGAATTTAACAGATGATCCAAGTGTGAAAATGTGCTTACGAGTGGTAAAATAGGGACTAAAGCTTCAGCTGCATTTTGAAAAGGAATGGGACAATGGGTAAGAGTAAAAAAAAAAAAAACAAAAAAACCCAAAAACACAGTCACAAGTGAAATTGAGCAGAACTATCAGCTCATTGTGCACAAAATACGGTGTTACAGAGCAAAGCTACTCACAGGTATTTGCAGTGCCTTTGGGGATGGGGAGATAGGAGCCAGGACTCCAAGGTCGGCCCTGATAATTCTTCTTGCATTTCCCACAGTCTGGACCTGTAGTGTTGTGCTCACATTCACAGGTCAATTTGCTGTTGTCATACACACACACAGTGGCGTGGAGATTACATTTGCACCTAAAGAGAGGAGAAACAAGAGTTCATTGTAAGTCAAGTAGGTGATCATGGAGGCTTTACCCATCTATCTCCTGGGGTGGTGGCTCTCACACCCTGTAGAGCTTGGGTGCCTAGAAGATCTTGGCAAAATGTAGATTTGGAGGCCCTATCCTCAGATCTTTAGACAAGTGCCCTCAGGGGAAGAGGTGATTTCATCTGGGTTTGAAGAACAATGTTATCTTCTGTTTTTCCTTAAACCAGAAATAGAATTCTTCTTTGTTGAAAAGGAAAGATAACCATTAAGACAATTTGCTATTCAGACTTATTTTATAGACACAAGGAGGTCATAATCAGATATTCACATTCCAGGCTCAAAAATGACATTACCCCAGATCCAAAGTTTTCCCACCAAGGCCTCTACCCACTTTGAGTAGTCCTTAGATTCCTCCCTCCCAGCAAATAAGACAATTACAAAAGTCTCTCAGGAATGGTTCAAACAACTCAGATAAAATGCTTAGAAGCCTAGAAAACAAAAACCTATATGTGGCAGGGGTTTGAGGTTATCAGCAAATGCCTTGCCTTTGGTGCCTATGAATAAAGCTATGATCTATGAGAGGCCACAATAGAATATGCTATTTCCACAAAAATGCATCCCCCTATCCAAAATCTTGGACTATAAAATTACAAAGGCTAACTGGATATTTGTTGATGTAGCAGCTTATAAACTGTAACATCCCAAGCACAGGCTGCCTCCTCTGGAAAAATAAAACCTAGGTTGACAGGATGACCATGGGCAGAGGCTGGAATAGTGTATGCAGGATTCCATGTGTCCATCCACCCAAGCTGAGGGATAAAGGGTCTGTCAGAGTCAGAATTGGGAAAATGTAACGTGTGTGTGTGTGTTTAAACATGATGTCTGGCCTCTCCCAATCCCAAGAGGTAGGACAAAAAAAAATAGAAAGCTAATTTTCATAAAGACAAAGAAATATTGTCACGCTTTACGTTTGTTGTCCTTTGTGGGCGGTGTCATGAATTGGAAAAAGTAACAGTAGTCTTTCCTAGGTAGTAAAATAAATAAGGCTCTTTAAGAACTGATGTGGGTTTTTATGATGTCTGTACAGCAACATCCAAGGTTCTCCCTTGTGCACTGATGATCTGTTTGGAAGACTGACCCGTACTTACGGCAAAGGAGCAAAGGAATGGCTAAGACCAGTACTGAGAGCTGCTGGGTGCTCTTCTAACCAAAAGCTGTGGTCCCTACAGCAATGCCCACCCTGCCCCCTCCCTCAAACCTCCCTGGGTAAGACCACACCCCATCTTTCTCAGGAGTCTAGTACAATTTGTAATACTTGTAGCCACATTCTGCCCTCTGTAGAGTTATAGATTGTAGTAAGTTGAACGGCTACCGTTTAAACAATACCTCTTCAACTGAGATGCATAAACAGAGCCTTTAAAATTAACATGTGTACAGTCTTACAAAAAGACAAGAGCAAAATAATCCAGTTAAGTGAAATAGTGTTTAATTATGAGCTAGGTCTTACAGCAATCTCCTCTAGGCAGGGAGTCAATTGTGCTAAGTTGTGTATGGAAGGATCTTTATGCTTCCAACATTAGCACCTTTATTTATGGGTGTGTTTGTATATACGGAAGATGTTAGGAACCTAAGTGACAGAAGCACCAGCTTATACTGATTTAGCACCCTCTCTGGTGTTAAAAATTCCAAATGAGGAAGAGAATAATGCGACCCCAAAGAATATGCTGGTTTCATGCAGGAAGACCAAGAATACAAACAGTAATTGTAAATTGGATTAAATGTCTTGTAACTATTAATACCTTCATATACTTATAGTCACTTTCTGTGTTACAGGCAATTTCCATTCTAAAGACTTTATATTTGCTGAGAAAATATTCTTTGCATAATAAAAGAAGGTGAAAGAGGAACGGATGAATATTTTCTTATTTCTCTCAGATTTCTTTCAATTAATGGTCCATCCTCACCTGTCCAAAAGCTAATCATTCAAGGCTCAACTCAATTCAAACTCTTCCCAATCACCTATGCTACCAATGTAGCCACCCTGAGCTCTAGTCTCCTGATCTCCTTAAATGCTTCTGTATATTTGGTTTTGTTGGTTGTTCCTTAAGGCTCTTTGGGCTTTTACTTTTTACTTTATTGGTTTTTCTTTCACAGTTTATTGTCAAGTTGGTTTCCATATAATACCCAGTGCTCATCCCAACAAGTGTCTTTGGGCTTTTAAAATGTTGACTCATTGCACAAATCTTTCCCACCTTAAGGGGGGAAATGTCTACCTTGTACTTCTTTTCTACCTTGTCCTCTTTTCCAGCCATCCCTTTAACACTCTCCTCTCCCTTCTTGAGTTTCCTGCACTTGAATTTTCTATTTTCTCATCTCCCACTCACTCACTCCTTCTCACTACCACAGCCTCTCTTGCCAAGATCATCCATGACCTCCTTGTTGAAAATCCAATGGATACTTTTTTTTTTTTTTAACCTTATTTGACCACCTGGGGTATTTGAGTCCGTGGACCACTCCCTTTCCCCTGATACTTTGTCCTCTCTGGATTCTCAAGCTCATTTCAGAACCTTCTCTTTCTGTGTGTTCTCTTTATATGCTGTTCTTGGGGTTCTGGCTCAGAACCATCAGCCTAAGTGAATCTTTTCAGACACTCTTACAAAAGGTTGACCTTTCAATTATTTCCATGGTCTTTAACTACCTTTGGGTTATAGCAAACTTGCACTTTAAACCAAACTTCCACAATCTTCCCCCACCCTGAAATAATAAGCATATGAAAGATAAGCTTAAACATTTGAAAACATTTTAGGAGATTCAGAGATCCTCTGTTACCCACACAGATCCATAGAACCCTTCTCTCCACTATTGCCAGGTGAAGATTATCTGATTGACCTACTGATAAATTCTGGATCTATCATGGATCTCTCTCCTGGGCATGTCGAACTCAACAGATCCTGAACTGAAGTCTGGGCTTCCCTTCCCCACCCACTCCTCCTTCGGGGATGTCTGTCTCAGTAAACTGCATCACCTTTGAGGGAGTTGGTTAAGAATGCCTCTCTCTTCCTTTCCTATCACATCTAAATTTTCATTGCTCCATCTCTCACCAAATTCTGGAATTCTCTCCTCTTTGATAATTCTCAAGCACACAAGGTTCCAGCCAACCATTGCCACTGCCCTCATTAAGCTTGTCATCATCTTTGATCTGCTTTATTACACTGGCTTCTCAACAGACCTTACTGCCTCCAGTCATGCTCCTCTCTAGTCCAGTCTCATCTCAACAGCCAAAATAATCCTTTACACAAAAATACTGGGGTCAACCTGGCTTAGAACCACTGAAAGACTTGTCACTATTCTCAGACTAGAGTCTAACTCTGTCATACAGCCTCCAAGTGCCTTTGAAGTTGGTGTCTTCTCTCTTCTCTAGTCTCACCTGCACTGCCAGCAACATTATTTAGTCCCTCACTCTTTGCCTTCAGGTAGTCTTATAAGCTATCCCTTCTGCCTAAAACATTCTACTCTACTATTTCTATCTTTTTTATCTGCAAAATTCTTACCATTCAGATGTCAAACTTGGAAATTTCTGTGTCTGGCTCCTAATTGACCTTCAAAAGACATCTGCTGGTCAATCATCTGAGTGCTTCTCTGACCCATCAGAATACCTTTCCCATGTGCTCCTGGGACATTGGGCGAAGCCAGTCGCACGATAAAGCCCGCACTATCTCTGCCTTAGACCTAAGCTGTGTTCTCATTGTTCTTCTAGCACATTTACTAGAGTAAACTCCTGGAGGCAGCAGTCATGTTTGCCTTATTTTTTGCAACATCCCCATCACACGTCAAGATGCTTGGCATGTAGTAAGTACTTAAATAAATATATGTATTTGACAGCTAAACAAATGATCATTAGACAAGTAAATTCTCTGAAAGCAGGAACTTCATGGGTCTGTTCTACTATGTATGTCTAGCACAGCAATGGGCTAAAAACAGAGAATTAATACACACTGTAATAAATCAAATGCTCCATGACATGTGCTCTAAACTGCCCTTATCATTGGTTTACATAATTAACCACAAAATGGGCAAAGAGAACTCTATAAAATTGGTAAGACCTTGTAAACACTATTTAAACTCCAGAGAATTTACCAATTGCTGGAAACCTAACACAAGATAAAAATGCTTGAAAAGAAATGCCTGAAAGGCTCAGGAATATAACAGAGTTTAGAGAAGAAAGAACAAAACAAAACAAAAAGCATTTGTGTAGCATAATTATTCTGCAGTGCGTATCTTTTGGCTTCAACTTCTCATGTAAGGATGGCCATCCTGGTTTAGGTGAAGTTTGGCAATGGTGGTTAGGCTCTGGCAAAGACTGGAACTTGTCTAGGAGTCATTCTGCTCACCTATGCTAGCTTCTGGACTGTCTTTCCTCCATCCTGGTGATGACTAGTTGTGCCTGGGTGGCACAGGTGAAAGTGGACACTGAGGTACCTCGACGCTGGCTGGTATTTGAAAATGGCTCTCTTTCCTTCTCTACAGCTTGGCGTTTTTGCCTCACCTCATCCCAACCAGCTTATAAAATTCTTTATTTAGAGCCCCTGCCAGAGTGCCTTTTCCTCCAGCAGGAAAAAAGAGAAAAGACAAGACAAGAAAGAAATGGATGTCACAATGCTGAGAGACTGCTCTCAATTCTTGGGACTATGACCTCCAGCCTTGTGATGGGGTGGGGGGCAGATTTCCAGGGCAGCCATTCGTCTCTGTACAGATTCATTATCCATTTCCATGGTCATCCAGCTCCTACATCTACCATCACATTGGGCGCAGAAGGAGCTGTGCAAATGGAGTTCTAACAGGCGTTGCTAAGCAGTGAAATCTCTGATGTGCTGGAGAGCAAAGCCTATTCACCAATTCTGTTTACACACACAGAACGCACACCAAGACACTGTAGATAGAATTGACTTGCTTGTACCTCAAAGATCCACTTGTGTGTAAGTGACAA